GGAGGTTAAAGGACTTGAGAAAGAGGGTGAGAAACTTTGCAGGGATTTTCTAAATTATCAAGAGCGAGTAAAGAGAGTTCTTGGTGCTCTTTACTGGGAAAAGGTGTGTGAAGGGGATGACGACCACTCAACATATGTCTCATGTCAAACCAATAAATGGTGGTGGAGGTAATGACATTGTTGGCCAACAACCAAGCAATGAGGTGTGGTGATGGGAAGGAGGTGGTGGTGGAGAAGAGGGTAGGGAATCTTGGTAATTATTTTGAAGGAGTGTATGTGGGATTTGGGATTTAATTCCTGTCTCAAAATAAATAGTTTATCTGTCTGAATTTTGGCTTATTTTCCAAAAAGAGGGCTGACTTTAAAACCAATCACATTTTTTAACTGGGAAAACTAAATGGAACACAACGATGTATTCAAATTATCTTTACTAATATTTTTATTTTTCAAGCTGGCGGGACCCACACGGTCAAAATCGGCGATTTATGTAGTTAATTCTTGTAGACTGGTTTTTGCCTTCACTTGTGCACGCCTAATATTATTATTAATACCCCATGTTACGGGACAATTATTATTATTATTATTATTATTATTATTATAGGTAAGGTATTATATATGGTTAGTTAATTATTATTAGAGAATATTATTTTTGTTAGGTTATTAATTAGTTTCTTATTTTATTTAGTTTCCTTTTAGAGATTGGACTCCCTTAGGCTTTTAGAGTTTCACTCTATATATTGAGATGTATTGCTTTAGAATTAAATAAAAAAAGAAATCATTTTTCCTAAACCCTAGTCTCTTCCTTTTCCCTCTCGTTCTTCTATTCCGCCGTACAAAGATTCGCAGTTCTCTCCCTCTTCTCGTCTCTTTTTCTCTTAGAGCTTGAAGAACACTCGATGTCCTTCCCTATCCCGATACGATACCGTATCAATTGGTGCTCTCATTGTTGAACTCACCAAAAAAAGACCAAAAAAAATTGCCATCACAATCGCCATTGAATATTCAGGGATTATCCACTGCCCAAGATCGTCGCCTAGAGTACAACATGATGAATTCTATGTTGGGGGAACTTTGTGTTTTATTAGAGACTCTTCTTTATGGAAAAATTGTCTTAGATAAAGGAATGTGTGGCGTTGATGATTTTGTTGATGAAATTATAAAGAAGCTCCAATCGTTCCGCCATATTAAAGGTCAATTCTTTTATGCGTTTGGCATAAAAATTTCTTGTTCAATTCAGGATTTAGTTCGTGGTCCCCCAATTCTACAAAGTTTGATCCCGATAGATTTATACATCTTCAGGACAAACATGATGAACGCAATAAGGGAACTCATCGGTGCTCCGCTTTCTCCACCAAATTTAGCCCCTAAGTCTGGAGACAAGATTGTTTAGTTGGTGGAAAACACCGCCGCACACACAGGTCCTCTTGTGGAAAATTTAAGCGTTGAACCACATGTCAAAGATGACATGAAAAGTGGGTCCATTATCATGGATACCAATAAGTCACTCACGATGAAGGAGGAAATTGTTGTTCATCCGGTAGGTATTTCCAGTGATGCTTTTGTTATTGTGATTGTTCATGTTCCTACAAACGATGCTAATGAGGATGCACACCACCAAGACCGTGAGGAAGTTTTTGGGGACAATCCAATTGTTTATGGATGCACAGAAAACTTTGGAATGCCTGATGCCGAGGTTATTGTTCTTTGTAAATCGGGAAGTATTGCACCCGGTTGCATTCTTTTCATCGAGTTGGTCGCATGCAATGATTTAACTATTGTTGGAGATGTTGTAGGTCCAACATGTTCTTTTGATGCTCCAATAAGGAAGGTGTTTGACCTCGGAGGATGGACGATGAATGACACACTTTTTCCCCATTCTTTGTTGAATTTCCAACTTGAGGACAAGTTGGTTTTTGAGGCGGTAAGAGTGTTACGGGACAATTACTATTATTATTATTATTATTATTATTATTATTATTATTATAGGTAAGGTATTATATATGGTTAGTTAATTATTATTAGAGAATATTATTTTTGTTAGGTTATTAATTAGTTTCTTATTTTATTTAGTTTCCTTTTAGAGATTGGACTCCCTTAGGCTTTTAGAGTTTCACTCTATATATTGAGATGTATTGCTTTAGAATTAAATAAAAAAAGAAATCATTTTCCCTAAACCCTAGTCTCTTCCTCTTCCCTCTCGTTCTTCTATTCCGCCGGACAAAGATTCGCGGTTCTCTCCCTCTTCTCGTCTCTTTTTCTCTTGGAGCTTGAAGAGCGCTCGAAATTCTTCGCTATCCCGATACCATACCGTATCACCCCACTTCATATTTTCGTCTCATTAACTGTTTTTATTTTTTTCTTTAAATTTAAAAAATTTGGTTTATACATTAATGTTAGAAATTGTGTTGAACTTTAAATGTAATACTTCGTATAGTAAATATATGCAACACACTGGCGTTCACTCATAAATTTCTTGTGCGCGTCCAAAAAACTTTCTAGGGTGTCCCCCATCCTAAAATTGATCTAAATCAAACACGCTTAACTTTGAAGTTTTTAAGTGATGAGTTCTCGAAAAGAAGAGACACCTTGTTGGTATGAGTAGTACTATTAATTCTTTAGAATCTTTTTTTCTTCCCCATCCAAGCCTTTTATTTATTTTCGAATCTGCAGGGTATTACAATATATTTCTCCTTGTACACAAAGTTTTTATCTTTACCACAATGGAACATGCAATGCTAATGTTGGAAAAAAATAACAACATTTATTTTGTAATCTCAAAGTTAGATTTATTTCATCATTTTTCTTTTACACATAATAAGAAATATTATAATATGGGTTTCATTTGCTGCATGTAGGTAATCCAAGGAATGATGAACTTGGAGCCAATCCCGGAGGGCAATGAGGATGAAGAGATTCGATGTGTGTGGCGGTTCTCGATGATTTTGAATTACTGTTTATTTCTTAATTAACTTATTACTTTTACGGGCATGTGTCCCAAGTTGTGTTTTGGATTATAACGTAAGCTTCCGCAACTGTTTTAATTATTACTTCGATGAATGTTGAATAATGTTTAGAAGTATTTATTTGAATTGTTTTGAAAATTAAGTCGTGTTTGGATACCAATTTAAAAGCAACCCAGTTCGCTAATCTGAGTATTTGGATTTTGCGGGTTGGGGTGTTACAAAATATCACAATATAGGTTTCCATTTATATATTACCATTATGGTACATAAAATATTATCATTTATATATTATTAATTTAGGTTAAGGAATAAGGAATATTATTTTGACTCTAATATTTTCTCTTTTTCATTATACGTATATAAACATAATGTACTTATATACTCCCATAAAATGCACACTTACCATATGGAGTATAAGCCAAAGTCAATGGACAGAAAATGAAGTCAATGTTTCCCATGTTTTTAAATAAAGCATGGATTATCTAAAAGATAAAATCCAAAACTATAATTTTTCTATTTTTGTGATCATATATCTATATGTTTTATTAATATTATAAACAATCCTTAAAAAAAAATTCTCATTTTTCATTTCGAGATAGCCCAAAAAGATGTTTCCACTTTTTTTAAATATGGAATCTAAATAAGTTATACTCCGTCCCATTTTAAATTGTCTGTTTGCCTTTTTTTCTCTGTCCCAAAATAAGTTGCCTTTTAGTTGTTTTCGTAAACTTTTAAAAATAAAATATCTAAACTACCTCTAAAATAAGTCAATGTTCTCCACATTATATTCTCATTCATCATCATCTCTTCTAAAAAGTATTGTCAATTTCGAAAAATCAACTCTATTTTTAATTTTCTTTAAATATGCCCAAAAGTCAAAATGGGCGATTTAAAACGGGACGGAGGGAGTACCAAAAAGGAAAAAATAACATAAAAATTAAAATTCCATTAACAAAAACTAAATCATTTTAATTTGATATTTTAAATAAATTACATTTTAAATCGTATAATACATTTGCTATACAACATTATCCGACATTTACATTTGGTTTCTTAATTGTTCATCAAACTACTCTTACTATAATTTGAATTCATATACATGTTTTTTCCAAACAATTTTTATTCAGGTTTGAAATTCATATTTCCAAAACTCATATCTTGTCATAGCTTAGCAAAGGCCTTTTTTTTACTACTCCCTCCGTCCCAAAATATTTGCAACATTTACTTTTTCGGCAGACAGCAGTCGCAGAAACTTTTGTTTATTTTTATGTTTTCATTGGTTATTTGATAAAATAAAATATTTTTGATACATCTTATTTCGAAGAACTTTTCGTGTAGTTTTTTGATATGTAAATTTTATTTTTTATTTCTATACCAATATGTAAATAAAATAAATTAAAAAAATTTAATATTTTACTTCGAGAATACAAGTGACAAATATTTAGGGACGGATGGAGTACAACAAATAGATCCCTAATTATTGAGAAAACTTTAATTATATAGGACCTTCATGGATTTTATGTCATAATCACGGTGAGAGGAAAAAAAACAAAATCCTCTTGGAAGTAGTACATTGGGGGAGAACACATCAGCGGCTCCACGGTGGGGTTTTTACCACAGTTTCAATTTTTTCTGGTAAATTATTTCCTCCACTTTTCCTCTGGCATTCCTTAGATGTCTACATCAATAGTAAGAACAATGAAAATGATTAGAATTTAACGAACAATATCACTTTTGTCTTCTTTATACTCACAAATCACAATAACTGTTTTTTCAATTATCCAATTCTTTTCCCTAAAAAACCTAATTTTCAAGATTCTAATTTATATTTTTGACACTCTTTATTCTTTCCCCACCTCCTAGTTTATAAGCAAATTTCAAAGGAAAACTTTTAAGGGTTCAGATGGTTTCTTACAATTCAAGTCATTCCTTGATTGTTTTTCTTCATTCCCATTTTGGGGATGCATTTTTTTTTTTGAAATTTTTGGAGATTTTTTGTATTTTGGGTGTGAAAGTTTTGCAGTAAAGGGGGAGTCTAATTCATTCTAAAGATAAGATCTTTCCAGAAATTGTTGGGGTTTTTAATACATTTAAAGATTTGTTCCTTTTTGTGTGTGTTAATTTGGGAAAGTAAAATAGTAATCTTCACAGGGGAAGGATTATAATGTACCTGATAGCCATAAACTATATCTCTGGTTTGGAGATCATTTGAGATTATCCTAGAGGTCAGTTTCTTGAACCATCCTCTCTATATGAAGTTCTATTCATTTAATTCTTCTTAGAGGATTTTGAGATCAATAGAACAATGTATGTAATCCCTAGAGCATAGCTTGATTGATTCTATGTGGGTGTTTCTCTGTGCGTATATATATTATAAGTCAGTTGATGATATGTTTCTGTATGCTTATAAGCTGCTTATAAGCCAGAAAAAATAAGTAGGTCATAGCTACTTATTTTTAAGCCAGTTTTTTCATTTCTCCGTTTTAACCAGATTATTTACAAAACTATTCCTCACCATTTATGAATATTTACAAATGATTTATCCATCATTTAAGTCATTTTACTTCCATGAAAGAATATTTGACTTATAAGCAGCTTATAAGTTAAAAATTGTTTATCAGTAATAAGCCAATAAGCACCCGCACAGAGAAACACCCCCTTATATAACAAAGAGGATTTTAAGTTGAGGTAATGGTGGATAGAAATGGTGAAAATCATGGATCATATATAATTTTCAAGATATATGATTAGAGTGATTGAAGAATGTAATGTTAAGACCGACAAATCATCACAACCTCAATTCCAAATTTCCAATCAGTTGAAATCGGCAGCGCAAAGTTTATAGTGCCAAGTAATTGTCTATAGCTGGCTAATTTAACATTAGAAATTTAGACAAAAAAACGCACTGGCGAAGTTATATGCTGGATGCCTGATTCTTGATCTTTCTGTAATGGAATAATGGAATGAAATTTAGAGTTTTCTTCGTCACAAGTTATTTCTATTGTGTATCAATGCATGGAAAATACATTCGTTTGACGATAAGTTGAGATGGCTGTTATTGTCATGTCCATTAGATGATTAAACTGTGTTATTTATCATATTTAATTAGAATGGTAAGACGTTTAAAAGGCGTCGTTGGTATATAAGGGAAAGCACTAAGGCCCCGTTTGGTACACGGAATTCAAGCTATGGAATTGGAATTGAGGACTTCAATTCCAATTCTGGTGCTTGGTAGCACAAAAATTATGTGAATTTGGAATTGGCAGTGCAAAAAATGAATTGGAATTGATGAATTATTCAATTCTATGGAATTGAATCCCATGGAATTTTAATTCCAATTCAATTCCAATTCCATCAATTCCGTATACCAAACGGACCGTAAGTTAATTAACTGATTATTTCAAGAGGATTTGCTGAATTATTATTCTCGAACTTCGAATTTAAGCTAACAATATTTCTTTATTAAAAATTCAAATCTGCATGAGTTCAAGATATGGTGTGTTTTTTGAGAAATTGCATCAAGCACAAATTGTGTTATACTCCCTCCGTCCTTAAAAGACTTTCCTTCGGCATGTTACGATACTTGTATGGAGTTATTTTCAATTCAATTTAAATGAAAATTGGTGTAAAATTCAAAGTAAAATATATATTCAGTATAGTTAAAAACTACATCAAATGTTCTATGAAACAAGAATGTTTTATTTTTATGAAATGGGCAATGAAAACGGGAAAAGAAAGTCTTACCATGTGAATAGGGAACATAAAATTATATTTGGGTCGGAGGAAGTGCATTTTTTAATTAGCTAAATTTATTGAAAGAAATATTCTAATAAAAGTATTATTGGAATATAGGCATATGTTTCTTTTTATAGTCATTCCAAATTGTTTTACATTCAAGTGACCTTGAGAGGCTTCTAAGTTCTATCCCACATTAATGATGTCTATTTTCGCCCTTTACCGATATGATTATCATTAATAAGTATTTTACAGGCTTAATCTTAACGAATTTTTTCGGTGGCTTGCGGATCAGGATTGAATACTAAGCATTGCCTTAATTTGACACCTGTCTTGTATTAGAATATTATATTCATCGCCTGCTACGTCCACCACTCACCGTCATTACTCATTTCACTATAAATACTGCACTTTCTGAAATTTAGGCAGAGGCATTGTGATATATGCTCCACACTGGAATCATAACTGTTCAAAGAGCATGAAGGTTTGATTTTTTCCCCTTTAGCATCTTGCTTTATTGTATGGCCTTTATCTTATATGCTGTCTTAATCCATATCTGTACATTGTAGACTTCAAATACAGTTTTTCCAAATGTTTTATTATTGCTCTGAAAGAAAGAAATAATGAAATAACATAGATATGCAAAACTTTCTTGTTTTCCATAAAAGTTGCTCCCACTGTTTGGTAAAAGAGTCACACTTTAAACCATATTTTTGTCCCTAAAAAGAGAGAAATATCCCAAACAAGTTATGTGTTTAAATTAAGTCAAACCTACAGATATAGCTATATTAGATGATTTCCGGCAGTTGTACCTAGCTTCTATAATATAAGCGACTTCAAAATCAAATTATAGCGATATTCCCATTATACTTTCCCGGTTTGTCCAATCATATTCTCTGAAAGGAGCTACTTGTCTCAACTTTTGTTGAGTTTTGATGTTAGTTCACAATCTTTAATATGAAGCTTAACAAAGTTTTTCTTCTTCTTTGTTGAAAAATCTTGCAAAAGAAAATTCTTAATGTAAATGTCACTTTGCATTGCTGAACCATGTGCTCCTAAAATATTTATTTTAGTATGTTGCATAAGTGATGAAGAACCAGCAGCTTGGTAAGCCTTTTGTGGGAATTGGTTTTAACTGTAATCTGTTATCAGGAACACTCTTCAGGAGATGATGAGAAAAACAGGAGCGTTCTTGAAAGTTCAGCCAGCCATTTGAGTCAAAAGGTACAAGAATGACTACAAGATAGCTATATATATCCTGTTGTAAAGCTTACCCATTGTATCCATGCAATTTACTTTTGATTTCATTTTTTTTCTTTGAGATCTTGGAGAAATCATTGGCTAGATGGAATCCTGATGAAGCACGTCGACCAATCATAGATGAAGCTCCTGTATTCTTTCCAACAGCCGAGGTTACATTCTCAGTAAAACAGTTTTTGTTTTCCTTTTCTGCAACAGAGTCTGTCTTTGCGTGTATGTGCTTCATGTAACTAACACAATAAAAGGGTAGACAGTCCTTACCTTTGTATTTTTACCCCCAAGAGAGTGAAGAGACTGTTTCCAAGACTTGAACTTGTGACCTCTGGGTCACATGGAAACGCCCTCAACCAGNTCATTTTTGGTAATTGGGCAGGAGTTTGAAGATACCCTTGGTTATATTGCAAGCATACGCCGAAAAGCAGAGGGGTATGGCATTTGTAGGATCATACCTCCTCCATCTTGGAGTCCACCTTGCCTTCTTCAAGAGAAGAGTGTGTGGGAATGCGAGTTCTCGACACGAATCCAGCAAATCGATTTGCTTCAGAATAGGGAGCCAATGAGAAAGAAACGGAAGCGAAAGAGAAGACGAAGGGGAGGACCATCAAAGGCAAGATCATCTGCTAGGAGATGTGCACCAGGCTCTGCCAATGAAGATAAGTTTGGGTTCCAAACGGGACCCAACTTCACGCTGAAAGAATTTCAGATATTTTCTGATGAGTTTAAAAAGCGTTATTTCGGGATGAGAGATGGGAAAGAAGGAATAAAAGTTAGGAGTGGACCTGACAGTGAATGGGAGCCCTCTATTGAAGATATTGAAGGTGAGTTCTGGCGCATTGTTGAGCAGTCAACAGAAGAAGTTGAGGTGCGTATGAACTAAATTCTTATTCTTTTGATACAAATCCACTCACTATCCTCATTCAGGTTATGTCTGGATCATGGGAATTCATAGGGAAATGTGTGGGGGGGGGGAGGGGGATGCGAGGGGAAGTTGTTTTCCTATGTATTGATTTACCTTGGAAAATGCAAAGGAAAATGAAATGTGATTAATGTTTTTTTCATATTTTACTTGTGTTAGATTTCTTAGTCTTTATATAGTAGAAATAGCTTAAACAACAGGTTTTAAAAAATATCTCGAATAAGCTTGTTGAATGTTAACTTATCTTTTATGCTCCTTGAATTTTTTCCAGTTTCTTTTCTCATCTGTGTTTACCTAGTATTTTGTGGATCCCAAATGGACTCATACTAGTAAGATGGTAACTGTTCTCACATTCTGATCATTAGGTGTACTATGGAGCTGATCTGGAAAGTGGGGTATTTGGTGATAGTGGCTTCCCCAAGGCTTCTTCCGATCAATATGCGGCTTCTGGTTGGAACTTGAAGAACTTTGCACGTTTGCCAGGTTCTTTACTGTGTTTTGAAGAATGCAACATCTCAGGAGTAGTAGTGCCATGGCTCTATGTTGGAATGTGCTTCTCATCATTTTGTTGGGTAAGCTAATTTCTTTGTGTTTTCCATAGTGTATCATCCATTTTGTTCCGTTTCAACAACTAAAACTGTTAATTTTGTTTCTTCTACTGATAATATATATCCGTTTTATCATTCTGTAAAGCACGTTGAAGACCACCATCTCTACTCTCTCAATTACTTACACTGGGGTGATCCCAAGGTATGGTATGGAGTCCCGGGAAGTCAAGCTTCTAAATTGGAGGATACAATGAGGAAGCACTTACCAGATCTCTTTGAAGAGCAACCTTTCTTGCTTAATGAACTTGTAAGTAACTAGTAATTACTATCATGTTAAGAATTTATTTATTTATCTATTTATTGTGTGTATAGGTTACTCAGTTGTCTCCTTCAGTGTTGAAGTCAGAAGGAGTGCCAGTCTACCATACAGTACAGCACTCTGGGGAGTTTGTTCTGACATTCCCAAGAGCCTATCATTCTGGATTCAACAGTGGGTTCAATTGTGCCGAGGCTGTAAACGTTGCCCCTGTGGATTGGTTAGATCAAGGGCAAACAGCGGTTGAGCTCTACAGTAAACAACATCGCAGAACTTCACTGTCGCATGATAAGTTGCTTTTGGGTGCCGCAAGAGAAGCTGTCCGGGCACTATGGGAGCTTTTGTTTCTTGAGGAAGAAAGCCCAAGAAACTTGAGATGGAAGAGTGTTTGCGGGCAGAGTGGAATACTAGCAGAAGCAGTTAAGGTAACAAACTTTGAATGCTTGACTATGTGTTTTTTAAGCATTTAATGCTAGAGCACTATGTTTGGTTCAAGGAATTTGAAAAGGAAAAAGAAAAGAAGAAGCTACGGAAAACAAGTTTTCTTGTTTGGTTTGAGGGGGGAAAAAAAGAAAATGAAAGTAGAAAATAAACTAAGATGAAGGAAAACAACTTTTCTTCCATTTTGGCGAGGAAAAGGAGAAAACCCCATTTCTTTTCCTTTCCTTCCAAATTCCATGAACCAAACATAGCCTAGGTGTCTCACGAGATTTAGACTGTGTAATGATTTTCTGAACTATATTTCTGGGCTTTGCAGAAAAGGGTTCAATTGGAAGAGGAAAGAATAAAGCAGCTGTCTCCTCTTGTGTCTCTTCAATACATGGATACGGATTACAACCTGAAGGACGAGAGAGAGTGTTTTGAGTGCTTCTATGACTTGCATCTATCTGCTGCTACTTGCAATTGCACCTTAGAAAAGTTTGCTTGCCTTACCCATGCAGACCACATTTGCTCATGTAAACCAGACAACAAAACCGTCTTTCTTCGATACTCCATGGATGACTTCAAGAAACTGGTCAAAGCTTTGGAAGGAAACGCAGACGCAATAAAAATGTGGGCTTTCAAGGATTCGTGTGCCCTGCCAGATGAAGCAGCAAATGAGGTGGTTAAATGTGAAACCTGTTCTTTGGAGTGTGGGAGCACCATGGGGAACGATGACGACAGGTTTGATCTCAATGAGAACTGTTTGTCCATTGAAAATGAAGTTGGTTTGACACTTATGTCCTTTAGCTCGAACAACACCACAGACACACAAATCTCAGACATTCTTGAATCCGCAAGGGCAAGAGGAAGTGGCCATTCAAATGGAATGAGGCTATTCGGGTGTGATATCTCCGCAAGCCTTCCCTTTGATGGAAAACTTAGAAAACGAGTTGCGGATAGTTCAATGAGGAGGAATTCAAATAATTCAAGCTTTCATGTTGACCCTTTGAACTATGGGTCCATAAAATCTGGGAAGCTATGGTGTAATAAGTGGGCCATATTCCCTAAAGGTACGCTGAACCAAAGTAGATTTTGTACTTGGCAGACTGTTTTCTTACATTTTCGATCCGACTTTCATGAATTTTGATTCCAGGATATAAAAGTCGTTCCTGGTTTTGTAATGTGCTATATCCAAGAAAATATAGCAGCTATATATGTGAGATCTGTGATGGTGGACTGCTTGGACCTCTATTTAAGGTAATCCCATTGCACTTTACTCTTAACATATGGACTACATTATACTCTTATGGTGGCCCCACCCTTCTCCGGAACCTTGCTAAGCGGGATGCTTTGTGCAATCATTCTTAGTGTGAATGTATAATTTCATCTTCGTTAGAGTATAAAACCTTTCTTGGGCCTACAACCGCAAGTTTGAGTTTTTGGTTAAATTGGTTCTTTAACATGGTATGAGAGCGATGCTAACGTAGAGGTCACAAGTTTGAACCCCACTCCCACCCAGTTTTAAAAAATTAATGTTCACGACTTCACGTGCAAGGTCCGAGCAAAAAAAGATTTCAAAACTTTTCCTCGGCCTACAATCACAAACTTGACAATCTTTTATCTATGCACTTTAGGCCTTTCCCACAGTTTTTGAGGCTCTTATTTCAGGTTACTTTGGAAGACTGTCCTACAGTAAGCTATACATGCGCATCACCCGAGAAATGCTGGGAAATGGTGGTTGAAAATTTGAATTCTGAAATGATGAGGCAAGCCGTTTTAGAGAAGTCAAAACTCCCACCCGCGCATGATAAAGTTAACGGGCTTGCAATGTTTGGCTTATTGTCCCCTCATATCATTCGGGTACATCGTCTCATTGTACGCTTTTCTTTTATTTTTTTTCCTTTTTTGTGCTTCTTAAATGCTAAAGATAACAAGCAGGTGATTGAATCCCTTGATCCGGGCCATCTCTGCACGGAGTATTGGAGCCATAAGCAAACGGGTCTTTTGTCCGACAGTGACATGGAATCTGCACTGCAAAGGTTTTTCAAGAAAGCGAATCCAGAGGAGTTGGGGATGATGCATGAGATATTGTTGCGCGGGTCGGGTAGCCCGGGGTGGAAAATCGCACTTTCTACCCTGGATAAGATGCAGAAGAATAGGTGAAAGAGAACATAGTTGAATAGTTATTATTTCCTTTGTTCATAATTAGTTTCATATATTCTTTGAATATAGGTCCATTGTTTTTATCTAAAGAATAAATGGAATCTCATCATAAAGGCAGATATGTTTCCTGCATATATATAGAAAAAACAATTTTAGCTTTTGGGCCTCCTTTTGTGTGTTATAAGTGAAAAACAATAAGTTGTGCTTTTGGGTACTATTGCATGGTTTTTGTTCTTTTCTTTTAGAGTTATGCAGAATAGTCTCTCAACCTTTAAAGATGAAGGCCTCAAAATGGTGTTTGGTGAAGTATGTTTGGCATAATGAATAAGTGAATAGACTCCCTCCCTCCCATATTAATATTCCACAATTGACCGAGCACTAAGATTAAGAAAATTAAAATTTTGTGGTTGAAAGTGAAATGATGTAAGTCAGAAAAAATTAGCCTAATATGAAAATTAAAGTAAAATTTTATTTTGGGACGGATAAAAAAATTGTAGAAATGATATTGAAAAGAAATTAATCTTAAAACTGTAGAAATGATATTTGAAAGAAATTAATCTTAAAACTGTAGAAATCTTATTTTCACAAATACTAAAATTGTAGAAATGATATTGAAAAGAAATTAATCTTAAAAGTAAGTGGTTAAATTTTCTTTAGAAAATAATAGAATATTTTGGACCACAATACATTAAAAAAATATAAAGAGATTTTTTTTAAAACATGCACAAATAGATTAACATAGTTTCTAACATGATTAACATGACATCTACATTTCTAACACGATTAACACAAACTATAAAAAAGTTACGGAGTATCATTTTTGTAACATAATATTCATATTTTCCAATAATTGATCATGGTCAATAATTTCCTTTTTCTACATCTTTAATGTTTTATTCAATTGAACTTTTTGTTTCATAAAGTAAATAAATCTAGAGTAAAAGTTATTGGGTGTATTATATGTTATGAATTAGTTACGGAGTAATAATCATACAAATGATCATCATAATGTTAAAAAATAATAAAATTGAGAAAAGTGCACTCTTTATCCCAAAACTCTTTAGAAATTGCATAGTTTACCCCTAAATACTAAAAAGTGCACCGTTTGCCCTCAAACTTTTCAAAAATTACACGATTTACCCCTGAACATTAAAAAGTACACCAAATACCCCTGAACAATTTAAAATGTTACACCGTTGGTCCTAAAATACTAGATAGGGAGTGTGTTGCTCCCACGCACGGGAATTGCGAATATGATTCATCTGGCCCTTGTGAATTCTCCAAAGTTTCCTTCACCAAAATTATCGTCTTTATTTAAAAAATTTCCAAAGAGTTCAGTGGTATTTGGTGCACTTTTTAATGTTTCGAGGTAAACTGTGCAATTTCTGAAGAATTCAGGGGTATTTGGCACACTTTCTAATGTTCAGAGGTAAACGGTACAATTTCTGGAGAATTCGAGTGTAAACGGGGCACTTTTCTCTAATAAAATTATTGGAATTATTTTAATTTCAATTTGGTTTAGATCGTAGTAGATCCATTCGGATCACATCAAATTCAATCATATCAAATTCAATCAGATCAGATCAAATTAGATGTGATCTGAACCAATCTGTTCATATTAGATCATATCACTGTTGAGTGTGAAGCGAGGAAGCTAGGTGGAAGCTAATAGGAAATTGGCAGGAAGCTACCTAGAAGCTTACGGCTTAATCATTGTCTCTCTAACTAATCTCTATTTAAGAGATGCTAGTGTGCTTGTAATTGTGGTGCAACAACAAATAATAAAATCCTCCTAGTTGCCCCGTGTGGAGTAGGTTGCAGTTGGCGACCGAACCACGTTAAATCCTGTGTCATTTATTTTTCTGCACTTGATTCGGGATTGTGTGTTGTTTCTGCATGCGTTTATCCCAACAAGTGGTATCGGAGCTTTGGCTCGTTAACACACTGGAAATCCGATCAGCAGAAACTAATCAGAGAGAAGAGTGTCACCTAAAGAACCCTGTGCAGCAGCAGGAGCCGGAGTGAGGGCCGCTGCCGCCGGAGCACCACCATCCCCGTCGATCCCCATGGAGCACTTTTGCGCTTGAATCGGGAGAGCCGCAGCAGTGAGTGAGTCATGGGAGACTCGCCGCTGCCGCCACTAGCCGCGTGAAGAGGTGCAGCTCTGGTCCGTCCAGCCGCCGCCGCTAGCCGCGCGTAGAGGAGATCCGCCGCCGCTGGGTTGAGGAGCCGCCGTTGCCGTCCAGATCGAAAGGTGCTGTCGTTGACCTAGTTACCGCCGAGCTACTATACCGCCGTCCAGTATAGATCGCCGTCACTGTTTGCCTTCCGACTGCCGCACGCAGGAGCAGCGGCAGAAGGAGCCGCCGCCGCCGCCATCAGTAGCAGATCCTGAACTGCCGCCGTCCTCAGTCGAAGCTGTATCTACTGGTTCGAGCAGTTCGCAAGCCGCTGTAGTCTCTAGTCGTAGAGTGTCCAGAAGCTTTGTTGTGCAGTGGCCAAAAGGAATTTTTTTCTTTTGGCAGGTACTGTTCATCTCTATTCCATTTTGAGTGGAGTATTTTTTGTGGACCGTGATTTGTGCGTTGAGTGAGGTGAATTATTGTAGTGGTGGGTCAATGGTTGGGAAGAAGAAAAAAAAGGAGGTGGGGGCCATTGTGGAATTTTTGGTGATAGTGGCATGGTTTTTTGGTGGGTGGTGCTGAATTTTTTTTATGTCCTAGATATCTTATCTGATAAAAATATCAAGATCTGAAATTAGTTGTACTGGGTATTTCATCTCGTCGTTGGAGATGGCAGAAGATGGGAAGTTCCGAATTGAGAAATTCGATGGTACTGATTTCAGTTGGTGGAGAATGCAAATTGAAGATTTGCTGGTTCAGAAAGATTTGGACATTGTTTTAGGTGACAAGCGAGAAAAGATGTCAGATGCAGATTGGGCAGGTTTAGATCGGAAAGCAGTGTCCGTGATCCGACTCTCGTTGACTAAGAATGTTGTGTTCAACATTCTGAAGGAGACGACATCGAAAGGGATTATGGAAGCGCTGTCTAACATGTACGAGAAGCCATCTGCGGCAAACAAAGTGTTCCTGATTAGAGAATTGGTGAACACAAGGATGAAAGAAGGCACTTCAGTTACCGAGCATATCAACAAGTTGAATTCGATCTTAGCCAGACTTTTGTCAGTGTGCATTAAGTTCGATGATGAAGTTCAAGCATTACTATTGTTATCGTCATTGCCTGACAGTTGGTCCGGAACTGTTACAGCAGTTACCAATTCAGCGGGACCTGACCGATTCACTTTTGAGAAGATTCGTGATCTCGTTCTTGGCGAAGATGTCAGAAGAAGGAGTTCTGGTGAGTCTTCTGGAGAATCACTAAATATCGTCAGAGGTAGAAGAAATAACAGATGTAGTGGGAGCAAGAACAGACGAAGGAGTCAATCGAAGACTCGAGATAGCTCAGGCGAAACATGCTGGAAATGCAAGGAGGTGGGGCATTTTAGGAATCAATGTCCAAAAGAGGATAAGCAAGTAAACGTTGCTCAAGGCTCCGCGAGCGACGATGATTTGTTTATCTGTTGTGCAGAGAGCAATGTGGATTGTTGAGTCATAGATTCTGGTGCTTCATCTCATGCTACCCACAACGGTGAAGCATTGCAGAATCTAGTTTTTGGGGACTTTGGAAAGGTACGACTAGCGGACAACAGAGCTCTTGATGTTACGGGCATGGGTGACATAGTGCTGAAGACCTCAGTCGGTTTCTGGACTTTGAAGGATGTCAGAGTTGTTCCAGCCTTGAAGAAAAGTTTGATTTCTGTCAGGCAATTGGACGAACAGGGACACGAAGTGAAGTTCAGTGACGGGCAGTGGAAGGTCATAAAGGGAAATCTTGTCATGGCCCGCGGAAGAAAGAGTGGGTCGCTGTACATGGTCGAGTTACCGTATGAGGGAGTGACCGTCCCAGTTCAGAAGAGAAACAAAGTCCGGTTCACAGAGTCTCGTGGGCAGCAGAAGGTTTTCTATGCAAGAGAGAAACCAAGAGCCACAGGTTAGACTCAGGATGAACGAGCGAAGAAAGGTTCAAGGAGGCCAATCAGAGGTATCTATGGCAGTGGGAGCACAGGTGGTGTTTCAGCCAAGGTTCTTAGAAGACAGTGGGTCCGAAGAACCAGTATTCCAGCTGTTGAAATGTCTCCAGAAGATTTCTTGCTGACTATGGAGATGGTTTGTTCTCAGGATGTTCCAGGATCCGGCAGTGCGTGTGTGCAGTGGGAGCTGGTAGGGACCGAGGACAAGTCAGGGGCAGTTCAAGCCATGACTGATGGGTTGAAACTAAGGAGAGTTTCAACAGAGTCTTCTCGATTATCAAGAAGGCTGGTGGCAACTAGAGGTAGTGGAATTTTGAGTTCAGTTATCAGATTACAGAAGTACATGTGCACAGTTGAAGCGCAGGTGAACATTGTTCCGTGGCTTCAAGTGGGAGATTGTTGAGTGTGAAGCCAGGAAGCTAGGTGGAAGCTAATAGGAAATTGGCAGGAATCTACCTAGAAGCTTACGACTTAATCATTGTCTCCCTAACTAATCTCTATTTAAGAGATGCTAATGTGCTTGTAATTGTGGTGCAACAACAAATAATAAAATCCTCCTAGTTGCCCCGTGTGGAGTAGGTTGCAGTTGGCGACTGAACCATGTTAAATCCTGTGTCATTTATTTTTCTGCAGTTGATTCGGGATTGTGTGTTATTTCCGGGTGCGTTTATCCCAACAATCACATACACTTAGATCATATTAGATTAGATATTAAAAAATACAGATCAAGTAAATGGTACACATACTTAAACTCATGCAATATAGTATCTCTATCTTGGAATTGTCTTTTTTCTTTTTTTAGATGCAATATAAAGGTTTTTTTTAACTTAAGTCGATGCTTAACTAAAAGAGGGTAAGTAGAAAATGGGAGGTGGACAATTGAATCCAGAAGGAGAAGTATATTTTAGTTCAAGGTGATTTTGATTTATATTACTCTCTCCCAAAGTAATCCTTCAGTTTCGATTTACTAATATTAGATTAAAATTTTTTCAATTCAATTTATTTATTTATAAGAGCATAGTTTAGAAATAAAATTTATATCCTCAAAAGTACATAAAAAATTGTATGAAACAAGAGGTGACAAATGAAGCATTTCTTAGTGATGTGGCTATTCGTATTGAGTTAAGTCTGAGTACCACATATTTGACGTCAAATCTAATTTGTTTTTAGCTTCGCTCGTCAGGCAAGAGGATGTAGTTCATGAAGGGGAAGGGAGAACGGAGAGAGGGAAGAAAGGGGTGTGGGGAGAGATTGCCATCCCCTACTTCTCGTTTTCGCGGGAGGGGGTGGTGTTCCCGCTAGGTACATCCAGGACGTGCCCCTTCCCGTTTCCAATACTCTCCAGCCTTACGGTCTCGATTTTGGAATCGAGTTCAAATTCATATTGTATTTTAATTAAAGTCTTATTTGATGAACCTAAACTCTTTAACACTCTTTGGGATCTTCTCACATCATAATCATTTTTTCTAAGGCCAATTCTATGATGGATTTAAGGTCCAGTATGGACCTACATATGAGCAAAATAAGTATTTCTTTACTAGTTAAATAAGCATTTGATTTTAAAAATAAAAAATAAAAAATTTTATGTAATAAAATCCACAAAAATGTTATGCACCCAAGATGCACCTAAGAAGCACTCTTTTTCTAAACCAAAAAACTTATTAAGGTAATAACTATTTACTTATCACCCCATCTGTGGGTCCAAAAAATATTATGTGGACCTTAGGTCCACTAAACATTTACCTTTATACTCTCTCTATATGGAAATGAATTTTTTATATTTTATTCATACGGTCAAATTTTATTTACTTTGAGGTCATTGGCTTATTATTCATAATCAGTTTTTGACTTATAAGTTGTTTATAAATTAAATATTCTTTTCTTGAAATAAAATGACTTAAATGATAGATGAATCATTTGTAAATATTTATAAAGGGTGAGGGACGAATTTGTTAATAATTTGGTCAAAACGAAGAAACGAAAAAACTGTTTTACAAATAAGTAGTTAAGACCTGCTTATTTTTTCTAACTTTTAAGTAGCTTATAAGTCAGCTTATAAACATAAGAAACATATAATCAGCTGACTTATAAGTTAAAACTTCTTATAAGCAGTTTTGATCAGTTTATAAGCATAGAGAGGCACCAGCTTAAATAATACTGAAATAAACGTCTCTTCCCAATATAGTACCTAAAAATATTTTGCTTAATAGTACTTGAACAATATCCAATGACGACGATAGACATTTACTTTGAACAATGTTCAGTGGCAGTAAATATTTATTTGAACAATGTCTAGTGGAAATTGAATAATGGTATTATATAGAAAATTTAAAACATATTGTATTATATTGGGAAATTCACAATGTTTTAGTCTCATCTGGTTAATACTCATATGCAAGTGATAGAATGTTCATTTCACATATTTTTTCTTTTAGTTCTACATTTGTCAAACCTTTATTTGAGAGAAATACACTAATACTCATCTTCACAAATTTGAAAACATATGTATATAAATTTGGAAGCTATATAATGTTAATTAAAATTATAGAGGACATGCATTTCCTAGTAACTTAATACTCATCCAATACTCACTGCGAATCTCAGCTAGGATTTTGTAAGGTAATCGATCATATTATCGTTTGTCACTGTCAACAAGCACTGACTACTCTTTGCTTCATCCTTCCTCATTATGTTGCTCCCGCTCTTAAAATACGGAAAAAATCTGACTGTACGGCTGTCTCTGTAAGACCGGTTGAGCAGTTAATATCCATCCTATCCATGTTGAGTACCATACCATATATCCGGCTGTGGAATATGATTTCTACGGTATATATGGCCATCCACAATTTATAAATTTAGGGCTTGTTTTTTTCAACTTATCTTATTGGTTCCGATCTGAGTCAATTGAGTTCTAATATGATTATAATTATATTTAAAGATATTTCTAATTCGACTCTAACAAAAATAAGTAATACGTTGAAAGTAGGGGCGGGTAAAAAACTTAACTAGCATCGTACCATATCGGATCGTAATAGTACCAAACTGTTTATAGTGTTTTTAAACATGATTGAATGTTTACATTATGAATCGAAACTGAACCATCACCAAACGGGACAAGACCATGATACAAATGTGTGAAACCGATTATCACAGACTGAACCGTTCAAAGTTTTCCACGGGGTATTTCAAATAGTTTATTGCATACTTCGGCCTTGTTCTTTTGAGTTGGAAAAATTAACTTCCAACTACTAACTCCTTCCAAATTCTTTCATCTTTTTTCAGTTCCTTCCAATTCCTTTCAGTTTCTTTCAGCAATGAATTAAGACCATGCATGTGCTCTTGCATTGGAATTTTATAGTTGGATGTTAAAAGAAATTGGAAGGAGTTGGAAGAAACGAAAGGAGTTCAAAAAAATTGGAAGAAGTTGGAAAATGTTGGAAGAATTTGAGTGTTAAAAAATACTTAATTAAATGATCATTTAAATAAATATGTAAAGAAACTCTAATTTTAAGAAAGAATTCATCACTGCCCGTGTTTGAGGTGATAAGTTATAAATTTGGATATATAATGTTATTTTATATTAATCATATATTAATACATTTTTAAGTTGTTGTTGGAAGAAACTATGAGCTGGAAGGAACTGGAAGTAGTTGGAAGAAACTAGAAGGAGTTGGAAGAAGTTGGAAGTCAATTTTTCTAACTCAAAAGAACAAGGCCTAAAAAGATATTTATATACGATTAATATAAAATACTATTATATATTAAATTTTATTATATATCACATCAAACACGGACAATGATGAATTCTTTTTTATCCAAAAATAAAATTTTCTTACATATTGTTTTGGATGATCATTTAATTGAGTGATTTTTTTAACAATTAAATTCTTCCAACAATTTCCAACTTTTTCGAGTTTGTTCCAACCCCTCCTAGTTTCTTCCAACTCCTTCCAGTTTCTTCCAACATCCAATTCTGAAATTCCAACCCAAAGAACGCGACCTTCATCTTTTCATATATGGAGTACTTCGTATTTTATTATTCTTTTTTTATATTATTTCATTATTATTGTTGTCATTATACATATTATTACTATGAGCATTAAGTTTTTTTTAGAGTTATTTATAGTCCGATATTGTATGAATTGAAAATAAATCTATTTTTAAAATTTGGACGCGTTGTTTATATATATATATATATATATATATATATATATATATATATATATATATATATATATATATATATATATATAAAATCTTTTTAAATTCGAGATCAATACTTTTTTAACAAAGTTGTACTTCTTTAAGAAATCACCCTAAATAGGACTAAAACATAGAAAAAGTACCAAAATAGAAGCTCAATATGTTTATCTTGAAAATAGTAGTTTGCACTGTGGTAATGTGACATTGTATATGAACATTTTACAATAATTTTGTGTAGTGTATATGGTCATGATTGACACTGTAAATGCATTTTGATTTTTATTTCGAAAAAAAATATTGAATTCTATTTTAGTATATTTTTAATATTTTACTTATACTTTAATCATTTTTTACTACATCTTTATATAAAATTATGCTTTTATTTTAATTTATTTTTTGAGTAATGCATGTTTAATTATTTGGTACGGTTTGAGGCTTTAAGCATGAATATGATATTGTACATTTTAATTTTAAAACGAAATAGAACCGAATAGTTTTGGCATTTTTAAATAAGGTCGATCCTTAATATTCTCTTGCCCCTAAATATTTGCAACATTTGCTTTTTCAGCAGTCGCGAGAATTTTTGTTTATTTTTACATTTTCATTGGTTATTTGATAAAATAAAATATTCTTGACACCTTTTATTTTGAAAAACTTTTTAATGAAGTTTTTTTGATATATAAATTTTATTTTTTATTTCTGTACCAATATGTAAATAAAATGAATTAAAAAAGTTGATATTTGGCTTAGGGATTGAGAGTGACGAGACCAACTATTGAGCAAAAAATTGCTGTCACGTACCCCATATTTTGTGGTAAAAAACTACCGGGTACCTCCAATTTTGAAAATATACTCACAGGTACCCTGAATTTTAAAAAACATACTAACAGGAGATTTTCCATCCATTCTCCGTTTTTCCAAGTTTCTCCGTCAAATGTTTCACCATCATCATCATCATCATCCCTCCACCATTACCATCTCCTTCGTTCTTCCTCCCCCTCTTATTCATTTTCTTTTTTTCTTCTTTTTTTTCCTTCTTCTTCTTCTTCTTCTTCTCCTCCTCCTCCTCCTCCTTCCACTTTGGATCTTCCAAACCCCCCACCCCTCACCTTTATTTCTTCTTCTCCTCCTTCTATTATTATTATTATTATTATTATTATTAAAAATACTAATGAAACTATTATTTAATATTTTTAATAATAATAAAAGAAGAATAAGAAAATATTACTTCATAATAATAATAAATAATAGTGATAGAAGAAAATTATAATTTGTAATAAATAAATAATAATAATTAGTTTTAATATTAAAAATTATTAATATTAATTTTGAATATTAAAAAAAAATTAGAAGAAGAAAATACTACTTCATACTCCCTCCGTCTACAAGTAAACTTCTCGTACACTATTCATAGGGTCAAAATTTATTTACTATGTTGGCCTATTTTCGTCACTCATTTGATAAAGTAATATAGTCATGTACTCCTATCTCCTCTAGTTTTGTAAATCTTTTGATATAATTTTTTACTCTCTCCGTCCCCCTAAGATTTTCTCGTTTTGACTTTTTGTGATTTTTAAAGAAAGTTGAAAAAAGGTGAAAATTTACCATAATACCATTAATGAAAATGGGTGGAGTGTATTAAATGAGGTATGTAATTTTTATTTTTAAATTTCAGCTATTTTTCATATAAAATAATTTGAATATAACTTCAGTCAAACATCGTAACGCGTAACGAGAAGTTTATTTGTGGACGGAGGGAGTAATAAATAATAATAATAATAATAATAATAGTAATAGTAGTAATAATAATAATAATGATATATAATGATAATAATAATAATAATAACAATAATAATAACAATAATAATAATAATAATAATAATAATAATAATAGAAGGAGAAGAAGAAGAAATA